ATTATTATTGATCTCATGGATACCAAATATATCAATCTATCAACATATATTTAATTTCATGACTGTAGGTGAACGTAAAATTGCCATATTAACCTAATTACTCTTTTTTCCCCTTCCTAAGTCTCAAATTTAAACTAAATTCTTAATTAAGTTAATTTATATGATATTGCATTCATTTATACACACATAGATCTTGTGATTCTAAACAAAATTAAGTTGAGTTTCTTAATAACATTACTTAAAATTATTTTCATCGCAGATGGGTAATTATTAGTATTTCTATATTCAATTAATTAAATTCGAATTCCTTTCCGTTGCTCACGAAATGTTTCAAAACTATATAATATAATAATAATAATAATTAATGTAAGGTTAATTATTTTACTCTTGTCTCAATCCCAGTCAATAAATTGCCGATACTACAATGAAGCATTCACTGTCCACACGCATAAATACAAAAGCACAAGTCTAAAACAAGCCCATGAAAAATTCACGTGCACGTGCCACCAATATCCCTCTCTTTCATACAAAATTCCGCAAAAACAGGTTCCCAACAATTTTGGCTAACCCCATTGAACACCCAGCGGCCAGTACAGTGCATGCATCTCCTTCGACGTGCAAGAATATAAACCCGTTAAGCCCATGCGGCCAGCCATGAAATACCAAAAGCTGTAGTTTTCACTCCATTTCTCAGCAACACCTTCTTAGAAGAAAAAAAAAAAAAGGTTGTTTCCTAACTCTTGGACAAGTCCTTCTGGCATGTCCTCCAAGGAATCTAACCACGGCACCGATCTTTTTTGCCTATCCATTCCAGGATCATGTACATTTAGACAATATGATATCTTACCTTTTTTGTCTATGGCTAGCTTGATATTTACTTGCATTTACCTCTTTTTCTTGTTGGTAGATGTGTATATTTACTTCAAACTGTACTAAACACTACTGCAACTTTTAATAACTTCATCTCCTACTAGCTTTTGTTGCTTTAATATAGTTTTTAGCACATCACCGCACGGTCCATCCATGGCTTAAAATCTTAAAGTCAAACCAACATCTACCCCTAGAAAACATTTATCTCGTATGTACCATGACTGTAAGACACTTGCCTTTCGACCTTTTTGTTGTTGGTATTTATGAGAAAATCTCTCAATCAAAGCCAGATTTGCATTCCACAGGCAGCAGCCAACACGAGAGCTCTTGTTTTAGTACCAATTACTAATAATTGGAAGGAAACGAATTAAGAATGATGGGGACTGTTCACATGCAAATAGTAGGTATGTATTGCCTTCAAAATTAAACTGCGTTTTTAATTACTCGGGTCCCTTTGGGTTACGTCGAGAAAACAACCCGCAATAACCACGCAAACCCAACCTCTCACTGCCTTCGTTCTTCAATCATAGGGCTTGGGTTGGGATTGGTTGGAGCTTGGAGTTTGGCTTCCCCTCTCCATTCAATAGTTTTGGCTTTTGGGGTCACATTATTAGAAACTGAGGTAAATTTAAAGTGTTTGGTAGATACATATATTTGCCATTGTCCCCTGTCCCAAAACTTTTCACCTCTTCTTTCACCTTTAATTTTCCTACGGGTGTATTCATTATTGTGTCTTTCTGTTTCTATTATTGCCTAATTTAGATATATTTTCAATTACTAATACATATTTGTACACATTGTGTATACATGTATATAGAGAAAAAAAAGTACTTTCAGCTAACAAAAGACTTCAGAAAGATTGGAATTGCTGCAACCCACGCCAGTACAAATCACTCCATAAAGAATGAAAGTATAACATTGTTGTGGACAAGGAAATTAGGAATAGTACATTTCACTTAACTTTCGACCTCAAAAAAATTTACACGTACATGACGAGTCAGGACTGTGTTTATTTGCATGTCTATTCAAGTAGGAATACCTTTTACACATCTACCTGAGAATTCTTTTCCAAGATATCTGCCAGCTGACTCAAATCAAAGTTAAATTACTTATTTTATCCGAAATCTCTCTTACTTTAATTACTTTTACTATAAGTATTAGTAGATAAGAAGAATTGATCGTCCACTTGGCATTTTGTTTTTTTTTTTTTTTGAATCTAAGCTCAAGTATGCATCAGCTTTAAGAAGTGGGAGAGGCCTAGAAGGGTATCCATTGAGATATCTATCCCCTTTCAATAAAGATAAAAGAGACCTTTGATTCATTTTGGCATAATATACAAAAAAAAAATTAAAATATTTAAATAAATTTTTATATTTTATTATATTTAATCAAGCTTTTATACTTTTATTTTAAACTAAATAAAATTTTATATTTTTTATTTTGAGTTAAATAAATCCTTATAACTAATTATTGACTTAGTAAAAAAATCATTTGTTATCTATATCGTATGACATTGACGTGGTATGTTTAAATATCGTAATTGATTATAATATGGGATGATGATATAACATGCTAATTTGACATGACAACATAAGTATATGACATTTTTTACTTTCTACATCAATTTCATATTAATGTCATGCATATATAAAATGACAAGTAATATTTTTACTAATAATAATTAATCAATTATTAGTTATTAAGATTTATTTAATCTAAAATAAAAGTATGAAGACTTTATTAAACACAATTAAAAAATAAAAATTTATTTAAATATTTATGAATAATTTAAGAATTTATTTGAACATTATGTAATTTATTTTCAATCTTTAGATACACTAAAATATTTCAAAAAAATTACGGAATGGAGAGTACATATGGAGGCAGAAACTGAATTTAAGGATCAATGAATGACCACCAATTCTGTTGAATTATTATTGGGTGCATGTGCTATAGAAATTAGACAGTTAATTTACACCACTCATCGCAGGTTAAAAATCCAATTAGAGGACAATACAATCTTCTCTCTCTCTCTCTGTATCTAAGGAGTACTATCTAATAAATAAAGGATAATTGATGACAATTGCGATGTGATTGCAGAATCTGTGAACTATCACTGCCCTTATTTACTGCAATTTTGTTGAATTATCAGTGTACTATATGCCGTTTCCTTCTCTCCTTCATTAAATCTTAGGTTAAGGCGTTAATCCATTATTACCCTATATGAATTAAATATAATCCCTTTCCATTAGGCTCTCAATTCTTGCGATGCAAGTTATCAACAGAGAAAATGTGGTCATTACCCTATACTATACCAATGGAAAAAGTCAGATTTAATTTTAGTAGGTTTAACATCATCCGTCCTCGACTTTGTTCAAACTTATCCTTCACCCCAAAATGTAATCATAAATTGATAAGGATTAGGACCGTTTCTTGTTTTCCTCTTCGCTATAAAATGGGATAGAAAAAACGATATGACTATGCTGATATCATCCATACAAGCATTAGAATATAGAAAGATGACAGATACATAAACCTGGGTTTGTCAAAGGAGACTTGAGATATCCGCAAGGTAACATGCAATGTTGTGTCCGATCACCGCCTGAGACATGTTGCCAAACAATATCAGAAATGATATAAGCTTACATAATGACAAGGACCTATGGGCTCTTTGGCTTCCAACTCTTAAATGGGGTGCGGCCCTATGTCGGGAAAAAGGCATAATCATACCAAACATGAGGCTTGTTTAGAGGGGGACAAGGTCTGCCTCCATAATTAAATACTTTTATACAGCAATTATAGTTCATCTACCCAAATCAAAGCTTATGCAAGAAAAGTAGTTTATATCCCTAATTATAGTGTCCCTATGATGTCCAAAAGACAGGTATTTTTTTTTTTACTGCAATACTTCTATAATGAGGCAAGGTGGCTCGGTTGGCTGCATTGAATTTCCGAATTGCCTCTAAGATTTCTCCTTTTAGACACCCATTTTCATGGGAAATTGTAAACCCTACAAACTACAAAGTCAAGCTTTTCCCTTTTCTAGGTTTTGCTTACTGCCTTGGATATCTAATATTGCCCGCATAAACTACAAGGTATGACTTAAGTTTCTTGGATTAAATTAAGAACGATTACTTAGTTCAAGTTTCTTTATTCATCCTTGAATACATGAAACAAGCAAAAGTCTAATCAAGGCACTGACTATGTCTGCTGGTATATGTGTAACCCTACTCTGTTTCAATAGCGCAGTCTAATCAAACAGAATTGGCTTTTGCTGTTTGGCAGGCTAAGGTGTAATTAGCAATTTATCAGAATGTGGGGCTTATCTCTATAAGATCTGGTGGGTTTATATATATAATAATTTCAAAGACAAAGCTATTGGATGATTACCATCATACTTATTTTACATGTAAATGAGAGATAGAGAATCAGAGAGAATTTCTTGAGATTGGGCAGCTGAATCTTCAGTTAATGGAAAGCACGTATGTGGGAATTGAGTACTATTATATCATAATGTCAGAAAACGTGAGTGGCACAAGAAAAGACGAAAAAAAAATTAAAAAAAAGAAGACTATTGCTTTATAAAAATAGCTAATCATGTGATTCACGTTTACTTCTTCACAAATACCATGTCCATGCTCTTGAGACTCAATCAATTGAGAGAAATTTCTTTAAATTTTTACGAAAAAGAAAACGCTAATTCATATATTTTAATTAAAATAAAGATTTAATTGAATTGAAAATAATAATAATAATAAACCCTAGAGCCTACCTATTGTTTTCAAATTGTCTGTGGTGACATAATGCATAAATATGGACAACCTAGTAAGTAGAAACTTCGAGTTCCTCCACATGACATGGCGAATTCTGATAGGAAACTAACAAACTTTCCACTTGAAAAATCAAAGGTAAGGGTGGTGCCCCTTCCTTGGCTAAGCTGTCTAAATTTGAAAATAAAAAGTAAGGCCAATATTGGTTTACAACAGGTCTATGTCATCCCCAACATAAGGGGACAGCCACTCAAACTTCCTCAACCATTTCCTCCTTTTTTTTTGGGGGGGTGGGGGGCTGTGGTGTGTTTATTTATAAATTATAATTAATATCGTACCCATTGACAAATAGTTATGAAAAGGAAACCCATTTATCCCTTTACTAATCTAAAACCAAGGAAAGATTAGACAGAGCAAGGTATCCCAATAATATTGTCTCAACTTCCAGAAAGGTATAGTGTAGAATACTATTTTTTCAGTTCCACAAATTAGACTTCCTTCCCTACTTGCCTCCTTTTGTTTTATCTGCTTTTATTTTTTTTTCTTATTATTCATTTTGTTTATTCTGATAGCTAGATATGAAAGAAAAAGCAGTTCTCTCATGTCCCCTTAATCCTTAGGAAAATCTGTTTGTTAGCTTTGACATCTATAATGGTAATCACTTGCTTATTTTGGGCTCTACTATTTTGTTGGATGAGAATTCATAATTTTGAATCATTGCCTCGATTTCACAAAGATTGTAACATCATTGAACAGCACCATACAGGGCGATGGAACAGGATCCCACTGTTGTCAAAATCCAAGCAAGTGAAAGTTGAGTGGCATGAGGCATCCATTGTGGGACAAATAGTAACAAACAATAGCACAACAGAAGAGTGAAAGGGATCGGGAGATGGAGGTTTATGTGGCTTATAATTCAGGAAAGAAATGGGAAAAGCAAGCAAGTTGATGATGCATGGACAACAAGATGTGAACACTATCACTATAGTTGATTTAGAATATATATATATATATATATATATATATCTTTAGAAACAATTTTTTCTATTATTCTTGATGTTGGACAGAAATTATGGTAATCAAACATACGGTGTAGCTTGCAACTGCCTCTTAAAATTGGGGACCTACATGTCCAATTGACAGTTTTGGTCCCAACTGTTTTCATTATGATTGCAAATGCCACCAGCCATTGAGCTATAAATATCATTCACATAATTTTTTTTGTTTATTTCTTCTGGTAAAATTCAAGTTTTTTTTTGAGGGTGTGGGGGTGGGAGTTTAGGGTCTAGAGCTGAACAAGAATCCATGTTTAATTTCAGATATGCAGCCTATTTCTGAGGACAAGAGGGCCTTAGGTGCTCAATTTGAAACAATGCTTACTATCTTTTGCTGGGTTTCTTTTTTAATTTGGGGGTCCAAAGCCCAGCTTATGAAAGTTGAGTGGCATCCTTCTGACAAAGGAATTGGAAGCCCGGTCCATGTACAAACCTAGTTATTTTGGGACTACTTTTGTGGCCACGCTACCCAATTTAAAGTGTCCAAAACCCAGCACAAAGCAGGCTTCTTCAAGTCCACTGTTTCAATTAATTTACCTTTCGTTCAAGATAAATAAAACATTTTGACCTGGATTTTTAACATATAGACAAGTCCTTAGCCCCAAAAAAGTCACTTGCTAGTCTACAGATCTCCATTAAGAAAAAAAAACGTCAAAGAATTGGACTTTCAAAATGGCCTGGGATGAAGCTTTTAAATAGTTGGTGTTGGACTTATCTCAATGGTGATGGGCAATGGGAGCATTAGTTATGGACTACTTTTAGGATGCCAGTGGCCTCTTCTATAAAAAGTATTTCAATCATTGGGCTCCCCTGTTTTCCTTCCATACATCAATGTTGTTTCAATAATACAAAACGAAAGAAACTTCAAATCAAGTAAAGCCAGATGGTGTCTTAGGATTTCCCAAAGGTTTGGGGTTTGAGAATTGATGATGGAGGGCTGGAGAAACTAGGCATAATGATGGAGGTTGCAGATCTCATACCAACTCTAAACCCTATATCATATCTGCATTATGTCAGTCACATCATTTTGTGTCGTGTCTAAGCAAATCAGAATTGGGTCAGGAACGGGTCATGGGAAGGGACTCCCAGCTGCTCTGCAGCCGTGTCCCCGCCAACGTGATGATTACCGATCTCAATCCCTATCCTACTAGCACTGTTAGCCCGCCCTGTTTCGCTTTTCCGCACGCTTCACTTTCGTAGGGCGCCTCTCAACTTATTTTGTCATATTTTCCATGGGTTTTTCTTTTTGATACAGCCAAAGCCAGCCAAGTTCTGTTGTCTTTTATTTCTGTAGGTCATGTGATTCATGAACGGTAAGGAATGAACGACAAGCTATCCTCTTTGACCTTTGTTTACGTTTTCCAATTTATCTTCCTCATTTGCTGATTTTGAATTTTTTTAAATGATATTATAATTAAAATAATAATTAAAAATAAATATATTAAAATTTATAAAATTAAAATTTTAACATTATATTAACAAATTATAAATTCAATACATTCATTTAATCTTTTAAAGTAAAAATATTTTAAAAAATATATAATTATCTATAAAATTTTTCATATTTTAAAAAATATGATGATAAATATAAACATTATTAAATATATTTTCTTCAATATATATTACAAAATAATCATTCATCTACTTGTCACTTATTCAATTGTGTAACATGTACTTTTTATAATTATGAATCCAAACTATCAAAGTAATCAAAAAATATGTAGACATAAAATATTTAAAAATTTTAGTTGAATTGAAAATGTAAATATATGATTTTGGTTAATGCATGTTCTTTAAATAATTATTTTATAACATAATATTATTAAGAGAAAAATAAAAACCATTATGACAAATGAAATATTATTTTATGTAAAATAACTAAAATAAGTAAAGTGCTACTTCACACAGAATAACTATAATAAATGGAGCTCTATTTCATATGAAATAACAAATACAAGTAGAGAAGCTATTTCATATAAAATAATCACTTCACATGGAAAAATAGTGAAATTAACTTTGAATAAGTAACAGGGTTCATAAGTTACTTTTATCTTTAAATGTTTTGAAGAGTTTGATTTAATAGTTCAGATATGGAGATAACTAAAAAATCTTTTTCTTAACCTTTTCTCGAAATACAATATTGTTTAAAATATAAGTATTTCACTATTTTGCTTTGTTTTCATATACTTGTTCACATATACCATTTTTCATATCTATCTACGTATAACTTATTCTATTATACTTATTTATGTATAGTTTTTTTTTACCTTTTCACGTATATTTCTTTTCTGTTACTTTTTACTCAATAACAAGTCTTAATATCTCTAATTACTTAAATGATCACATAATATATTTTTAATCATTATTTGATATTAACTCTTAATAACGATTACTTAATATTAAAGTTTTTTTTAATAAAATCATTCATTATACGTATTAAAACTTTTTCGTATAATCGTTATTTTTAATACTATACATAAAACCTTCACAATTTATTAGAGGGCTCTTCCTCAAGTTAATAGATGACCCTCAAGAGCTTTTCTCTAATTCTTTATACTCTTTAATTCTCTTCTTATTATATTTCATTTGTTATGATACTCAGTAATTCAAAAACTGTTTTAATTTTTCTCTTCACCATCTTAGGTGCATTTTTTTACTTGTTTACAACGATTTCTTTCCCTATTATAAGAACTCCTTTATAAAAAAATTACTCACAATTAAAGTTTAATTGAATTATTTTGAGATAGTGAAAAATACTTCAAAATCACTATAAGTTTCAAAAGTAAAACTTACCATTGAAATCTAATTGAATTGTTTTAAAACAATAAAAAACACAGAAAAGTCACTCTAGGTTTTAAAAGTAAGGCTTGAATTTTTGAAAAGAAAAAATAGTTTAAGTTTTTAATAAAATCTTAAATTATAAAAAAAATTTCTTTTTAGGTAGATTTAAATATTAATATATAATTTCTTTTGAGAAATTTATTTTTTGATAATGTTTAATATTTTTTAAAATATTTAATATTATTAATATATAAATTTTTTTAATAAAATTTACTTTTAGACCACGCTTATTACAAAATTATAAAAAATATTAAAGAGTTCATAACATTATTAAATGCGTAAAATTAAAAAAATATAATAAAAAATAGTTTTTTAATTGAGTGCTGTCGTGTGATACCACTCTCATGAACATGGGTCCGCCCATGACTCAGATGTTTGAAACCTTTTTCTTTCAGGGGTTAAATGAAGCAAGCAAGTAAGTAGTTCTTGCATAACTCAAATGCAGTATTACATACTGATTTAAGTATATTATCCATAAGTGTTAAAATAATTAAACAACTTTGCAATAGATCTGCTGCTATATACTAATACAATTTTCTTATTTCCTTAACGCTTTCAAATGATTCACAGTTTAGGACAGAGTGGAGTCTTGCGTAGTTATAGGGGTTATGGCTTCTCAAAATTTTTAAAATTTTATTTTTTTATATTTTAATAATTTTCTTAAAAATTTATAATCCTTGTTCTTCCTTGTCCATGATTTCCACTAAAAATTGATTTACTCGGCTCTGATCTAGGGGATATAGGTCCAGTGAAAAGTCAAATAGCTGCACTGAGTAGGCAAAAAATCTTTATACATCGTTGGAGGATAAGAACTATTAGCAAAAGATAATAAAAATCCCAATTTTTTAATACAATATTAATTAAGATTTGTTTAAATGTTGCATTGTTCGTCCTATATATTCAGAATTTTATTCTCGAAATATTATCTCAAAGAATCAAATGTTAATAAAGAAGGAAGACTCACCTTTTTATTTGGATTAACTCATGCAAAATAAATAATAATAAACTTTATCCCATCCAATTTTTCCCAACTTCCTAGGTTTACAGTCGCACCTTCTGATAAAAATAAACTTCTTTCTGCCTTCACTAGATTTCGTCTCTCCTCAGCGGCGAAGCACCAATTCCAGCCACATAACATTTCATATATCTTTCCCCGACCAGCAGGCCAAGGTCTCTAGACCCACCGATGCTCCATTATTCCACTCAAAATTCATATGAATTTAATTAAATATTTTACAAATTGATCAAGCAGGACAATGATTATGTTTTGATATGCATTAATTATTTTTTAAACATCTCATATTTCTTCGTTAAAATCAAAGTTTTAGGTTTAAAGAGAGATTTTCTCTGAGCTATGAAACAAACCCAGTGCAAGAGAAAGAGCAGAGGTTGCTTAGACGGAGATAACAATGAGGTGCGGTAGAATATTAGTCCTTCTCTTGCCCTACCATACAGAAGCCTATCCTCAGCAGTAGCAGCAGCAGCAGCAGCAGCACATGGGGTTCCCATTCTAAGCTAAAGAATGGCATGAAATGACAGGCCATGCACAATGCTTCAACTCAAACAGAAGATAAAGAGTCAGACCAAGTTTCAAACCTTAGTAGGCCAACACAATGACTTTTCTTCTGGTCTTGTGTAATAATTTTAACCAAAAACGCACCAGGGCTTCTAGAGCTCCAGATAAAGCAATAGAGAAAAAGGGTTCATGGGTGCAGCTAATAGCCTTTCCAGGGCGTCAGGCTTCTGCTCTTTTCTTTTTTTCGCAAGGCTGATGGCTCTAGGTAAAACCTTAACTGTTGAAGCCAAACATACTAGGTGGAGACGTGGAGTAGAGCATACGGTGGAAGCAAATGGTAAGGTTTGACAGAGAAAATCAGAAAATCGTCCTTGTCGCGCCCACTTTGGGGATTCTCAAACCAACCTTGAAACTCTAAAAGCCAAGAACACCACCCCCACTGCCCCAAGAAAAAAAGGAAAAATACTCTTTCCATTTAATGCTGCTCACACCTTTTCATCTGGCCCTTTTCTATCTATCATATGCTTCACTGACCAGACGGTGAGACAAGATTGCTTGTTGTTGGGTTAGGGTGGAGACACGTGTGAAAAGAAGCAGACGTCATCTTGAAATGGCACGAGTTCAATAATGACCTTCTTGTGTTATAAGCAAATTCCATTTTTCAAAGTAATTTTGAACTCATCACAACTTTTAAGATAAAATATTATAATTTAAATTTTGATCAAAATTACACATCTATTTTAATATAATTTTATCAAAATTTAAAAATGTTTAAACATATGTACAACATTTTCAACAAGTTGTAATCATGTTTTCTTGTCTTTCTACAATAAATGCCATTTAATAGTTGTAGTGAAAAATTGCAAAGAATTGGCATACCCTCAATGAATGACTGAAAAATTAGGCCATTGTTACATATTTTTTGGTTTATTTGGAATGTTTAAATGGGGAATTAATTGAATTTCGAGTTAAAGAACTTCATCTTTTTCTATGCTTTTAATAGGATTTTGATTTTTGACTAACTCATTTGAAAACTCTTTAGTCCTTAAGTAATTAGGGAAATATGATTTGAAGATTGAACGATTAGTGCGTAATTAATGCCATTAACCAGTCTTTATCTGATTAGGATGGTTCAAATTTTGGTTTTTATTTGGAATAATTGAATTTTTTTAAATGTTTAAATGCTTTCAAGAGATCATGAATTTGACAAATCTTTTAAGTTGATAGTCATGTGCCATTAAGTTCCAAAGAGACCAAATTTCAAGTCTGATAATTCGAGACTTTATGATCAGAGCATGACTCATGGTTAGTTGGAGTGATCTAGCTTCCTCACTTATTAGGTCATAGAAGATCCTTCTCAGCTACTCTTAATATTAAAATTTTAATTCCACTAAAAAAACACATCATATTTTTGGTAAATTTTTTAGAATATAAATTTCTATTATAACAAACTTAAGGGTGAATTTCCCTTGTATCACTTGTGCTTTTCCCTTTTTCATTTATTTTCTCTTACTTATGTTTTAAATAGTACAATTTTTTTTAAGGTAAGGATCTAACATAATATTTTAGTGAATTTAAAAAAAAAATTTTGTTCTAATAACAAAATTAATATAATATCTAAAAAAATTTAAATATTAAAAAAAAACTGCCCAGGTTAATAATATGAACTTACAATCAAGAGGGGCAATAAAGTGGTAGAATGTTGCAAATGGATGGCGTAGAGAGGTGCGGTTAACCTTTGGCTCCGTATAAATCTTGTGATCACCCTTCCCTTGGGAAAAGAAACCCTACCCTCTGTGGATGCATTTCAATGTTAATGATCAAACTATTAAGGAAAATTTAAATAAATTGTTTTTTATATTCAATTAATTTTTTTAATTTTAAATTAAATATATTTTTATAATTAATAATAATTAATTAGAATTTTAATTATTTTTTATATTAAATAATATATTAATATATCATAATAAATTATAACATAATACATTAATATGATATAATAACATTCTCATATTACTTAACTAGTAGTTACAAATGTCTATTTGATTTAAAATAAAAATATAAAATAAATTTATTTAATTTAAAATAAAAATATAAAAATTTAATTAAGTATAATAAAAATAAAAATTGTTTAAATAGTTTATAAATTTTTAAAAATATTATATCAAAAAATTTTGATAATAAACTCACCGATTACATGGTAACACTAGTTGTCACCTCTACACATCTTAACACTATCTTTTCAAATTTATTTTATTTTGTCAAACAAAATAACTCAACTTTTGGTAATCAAAAACTCCCTTCAAATGTATTTTATTAATAATAATTTTTTAAGTTTGAGCTACTATATGTTATTAATTCACAATTTGACATGTATAAAAGGATGCGAATTGTTGGAAAAGAAATAAAATTAAAAAAATTGGCAGCTAAATTAAGAATGACATGAAATGACAAAACCATGCAATCTCTCCATCTTCTAGTTACAAAAATAGTTAAAATTTAAGAACAACATTCACAAAAGAAAAAGACAGCAAGGGAAAATACTACTACTACCAAATAGTGTAAACACCGCATAAGGCAAATGATCTTTGACCAGCAAAGCTCTAAAAAGTTGTTCATGGATTTAGTATAAACTTTAATGTCTCAAACGGGTATGGTCCTTTGCCATTCAGAAACCTGGCCCAGAAGTTAATTTTCAATGGTTCAATATTTAACGATTGCCTTTTTCAGGAAAATCTTTTAAGCTTCCAGAGAAAGCAATCCATAATTTACAACCTTTTCCCCGTGTAAAACTTCATGATTGCACCGTATCAAGAACTAAGAAACTTACAAATACAAGATTTAGAAAAAAGTTGCTCAACCTCATCTGTTTATATACTTGGTAGTATTTCTTTTTTGTCATTCTTTTACCGTTTTTACCACTATGAACAGCAATTCAATTGAAGGACGGTGTAGCAAGTTAAGTACGTATCTGGAATTAAAAAATGGCAATATACCCAGAGAACAGATTGCATGGAGAATCAATCAAGCTTGCACTAAGACTCTCTTTTGTATGTTTCTCTCTCTATCACGCCGCCAAAGCTCACATTGGATTTGTCATGTAATGGGGACACCCAGGGCAAGCATTAATTGGATAGACATAACCAGTAGTCTCCCATTCCAGCTTTCATCATTACAGTGATTCCCTTTAGCCAAAATGGTGAAAGTTCCTTGGCAGCCTTTTTATGCGAAAGCCTGAATAAATCTCTCGTCAGTCTCATGTACATGTAAATGTTTTCTTCCTTCCAAACTTTCCTACGCTGTTCTTTTGGGACTTTTCCTGCATATTTTCAAACTTATCCATTTACCTACAAGTAATTTTTTCCTCAACTTGAACGGGAGTTCGGAGTTCGTTCCGGGTTTTTGTTTTTTCTTGTCCTTTTCTGCTCCAGGGCACCCAAAATGTCTGCTTCCTCTTCTCCGGTAAAAACCTCAAATTCTAAACCACTAAACCCATCAGCTTTAAGCTACGAGCCTCAATCCATGCAACTGATTGCTAAGCCCCATTATCCGCAAGATAAAATTTACCTGCCTCATCAGTTTCCCTTGGAAAGGAGCCAAAATGAAGCTCCCTTACATCTCCCTCAGCTTCAGATATCAGTACCGCAATCGGTATTTTTACCCGTTGTGTTGCCTGACTTCTGTCCCCGTCCAAGCTTTGGATATTATTCTCCCTGGTGCTGGGATAATAAGGAAGAGTGTTTGAGCTTATATAACTCAGAGAAGCAGCCACATCCTCGGATTAAAGTTTTCAATAGCCCAAATTCTATTTCATATGATGGTATGAACTATGGGTCGGAGGGGATCGTTGGAAATAAGAAGAAAGGTAAATGTGGGTATGTTCCTCCTAGGTTGAAGCCTCGGAGTGGGTATCCCATGCATAGCCCGGTTTGGGTCCCCAGAAAAGCAGATGATGAGAAGATCGAAGCCAGTTCTAATGGTCATGGGGGTGGTTGTCCTTTATGTCCTCCTGTACCCGCTGAGGAACAGATGAAATTTGATGGAAAGACTTCTGTGATGATCAAAAACGTTCCTAATCACTTCAAGTAGTTTCTCTATCTCGTGCATTTTCTTTCGCTTTGTCTTTTGTTTCATGCTCATGCTGGTTTTCTATTTTCCTTTTCAATCTTACCATACATGGTTCAGCTGCCATGAGCCTGTAATCTCTTAGGTTTCTGGGCTGTTATGTTGGCCAAAATCGGTATGTTTTACTGTTTATTTTAGCCACGGTGGTCTCAATGACCCATCCCTTTCACCATCTTTGAGTTTCTCTGTGTTTGTTGTGGGTTTTTTCTGCAGATGGTGGTCAAGTAACAGTACTTTTCTCTCTCCCTCCCTGTCTGTTTTAAGTTTCTTTTGCGACCTTTGATATGGGAACGGTCTGTAAAAGCTGGAAGAAGAGTCGTCAGTTTGCCCATCGGTTTTTCACGTTTTCTTTGTCCCTTCTGTAGTCTGTAGCTGTACGGAAGTTATGTATGTCTTAAGATCTCTTAAATGTTCAGTCATGTATGCTTTTCCAACATGCACGGCCTATTTATCCTACATCGATTAACATGCATATATGCAGCACATGATAGTTAAAGTCCACCATGAATGTAACTAAATTAATCCATGTCTCTTTTTGACCTCTACATGCTCAGGGTTCTTTGGTTGGCATTGATCCATTATCTTTTTGATAAATGAACAGAAGGAGTAACTTGCAGCGCATGCTGGATCGTTTCTGTCAGACTGAAAATAGAAAAGCTCTGCCAGTGTCTAATTGCTGCAAATCAGCATATGATTTTCTTTATCTGCCCATGGACTTTGGGTAATATTTTATTTTTAATCATTGCCTCGTGTCATCAGCTTTTCTGTTGTTGTTCTTTAAATTTGTTGAATCTAAAGATTCTTATAGTGTATAGGCGGAAACAAGTAATGCTGACATAATTTTGTTCAGGTTTCATTTGAATCTGGGCTTTGCTTTTGTGAATTTCACGAGTCCTGATGCTGCGTCAAGGTTTTCTAGGGCCTTTAGCCACCGAGAATGGAGCTATGGAGACACTAGGAGTAAGATCTGTGAAATTGCTGTCGCCAAGCTGCAGGTAACATATGGCCACTTTTAAGTAAAGGTTCTGCTCCTTTTTGTTTTCCCGCTCTTTTCTCTGTAACGGCGTTGGTTAATGTCAGAATTTTTTATTCAATTTCGAGTTCTGCAAGCTGTTTTAGTAATTGTTTGATTCTTTGTACCTTTTGTTTTGGGTGAAATTCTACAGGGAAAAGACGCGTTGAAGGAACAATTTGAGAGGTCAAGCTTTCCGTGCCATACAACTGATTACCTGCCCGTTGTCTTTTCTCCCCCACGGGATGGTTTCACCCGGTCGAGGCCAACCATTGTTGGCAGACGAACCCACGCATCTGCTACTTCAAAGGGTGAAAGGGTCATGATCATGACCCAAAGGAAGAACAGGAAAGCTTGAAACGTTTTTCGCTCTTTCGTTGTGTAATAGATAGAGCTGCTTCCTTTGTTTTCATTGTCTCCCTAGGTGGATTAGGGCCGTTGGTGTTAAAAACTCTAGGGTGAATTGGAAACATGGGTTAGGTTTTTATTAACTGTGGTGTGTATCAGACATCTATGGGAGCTATATATGCTGTGTGTATTCTGAGGCTTTTGTTGTTAAACAGCGCTTATGCCCATGAACCATGTACAAATTCCTTCCATTGATATGCAAAAACTACTTTCACCCATTTCGGTCCATAAACCCGATATTTCCACCTTCTGCACCTTCCTGGCAATGGCTTAGAATTTTTAAAAATGACCAAACCGACAAATCAATTACTCCAATTACCTCCCAGTTTTGCAAGAGAATGTGTACATGGGTTAAGCTTCTGTCAAAAAATTTTTGTAGAGCACACAGGCGAATGCTATGTTGAGTAAAAGTCCATCTCCGTCTTTTTTTATTATTTGAAGAAAAAGAGATTCAAGCCCAACTCTATACCCTTTTAACTCCATTTTTGTGGTAGATGGCAATTTTATTAATCCAATGAAATCCAGGGAAAGACCTCTACATCAGAAACTGTACAGTTCTTTTATACAGACCGCATCGACAATGCAGTTAAAATTTCCTTCAACATAATCATGTTGTTTCCCATGCAGCCTATTGTTCCTTGGAGACCAGGCACTACATGCTAATTCCGATGTTAGAACTTTTATACTTTGCCATTTAGTTGCTTAAAACAATCAAACTCAGTTAGGAGACAAGTATAATTATTTGCCTTATAAGAGCTTAACTCGCGAAGTTAGTAGACCAATTAATAGCTGTCCTGTGAATATTTGAGCACTGCGACACCTTGCACCGAACATGTTTTTGGAGAAAGGATAACCAAAAAACAAATGTTCCCAATCTTCTGTAGATGATGCATGTATAATACATGAGCTGCTGGCAATAGGACATCCCCATCGAAAGATTCTTTGCAAAATTTTCCTGCATTCTTTTTATGTGGTTGTTGCCATGACAAATGAATGATGAAGCCCAAGTATTTTATTTTGTTTTGGATATAGTCTTTCCTCCCTTCCCGTAAGGAAGCCCTTCTGGAACTACACATGGTAGTGTATTTTTCAGATTGTCCATTCATAGCCATCGTACAATGTTTATTTTTCAATGGTGGTGATGGTGGTGGTGGTGGAGGTGGTTTCCAGTTTGATGAGTTCGATCCATTTGCCATGTGAACCTATTACTACAATATAGTATTAATATAACTTGTTAAGATGATTGCCATACAGGCTTTTGTCCAGGCGATCTTTTGCCTATTTTAATGAGCTATTCATGTGTATAAGTGTCATTGGTTAACAAAAGGTCTAAGCAATGCTTAGTTTGAGATACTGACTTCATTTAACATACGTTCAACCTCTTTTAACATTTCTAAGCGATGCTTAATTTAAGATCAATAAATGATTAAGTTATATAAATAAGAAGCATTTGTGATCAATAAATGATCAAACTAAATAAAATAAGTCCATAAATTCTTGAATAAATTTAACATATTTAATTGATTTTTATCAATCGACATAAGTACATACAAAAAGAGAAATCACTTGTCATGGATTAAAAATATTCAAAGGTAAACTATTTCAGGCAAAGTTTATCCTTTAGGTAGTCCACTTGTCATGGATTAACATTTCTTGTCAATTTCTTTTACAATTTTCTGAATGCAACTGACGCAGATATAACACCACCGGTACGTATAAAGTTTTCAGCCTTGAACTCACATGGGCCATTGGGATTGTAATAATAAAGTCCAAGTTATGGCTGACCAATGGAAGGAATGGATATTTTAATGGGAGTTGAGGTCATTAGTCACTCTTTGTTTTTCTCCTTAGATTTGTCTCTCAAGTAGCTTAAGATTTGGGTCCGATTTGACTTTGAATTCTGAAACCTTGGTAAATCAGGTTTCGAGTTCTATAGGAATATGCCTAACTTCAATCCAGTCAGTGAAGATTCTATTTCTCTAATATAAAAAAAACAGTCGAATCTAATAAGCGTATTTCCTACCCTAGTTTCTCGTTCGAGAAGTGTCAGATTTGTACTTTCCTTTCCTCTTGGTTTGCTTGGCAAGTAAACAAGAACTTGAGAGCAATAATAGGAGTTGCTAAGTAAAGAGACCGAACACTAACAGTATTAGGATTCAGGATTGACTTGTTGAGAGTGATCTGGCAACTCGCAAGTAAGGTGTTGGTTGTGTTTTCAGCTTATCAGCTTTTAGTTCGCTGAACGCTAGCTGCCTCAGAGCCACGGTATAATTGCAGCAGTTTCCACTATTGACATTTTTTTTTAAAGGGCAGTTGCTGTTTACGCCTGGATAATGTTTGTCAGGATGATTGACCTTGAAGACCTTCCGCACGTCAGATTCTGCCCACGGGAATGGCAAGGATCTTTTGGTATTGTTTTTGGATGATTGAAAATTATTCATTGAACTATTTTGTTAATACTAATGACCTAGGCTGTCCCCTCCCTGTGTCTTTTCCTGTCCTGATCATGGGTCATTATAAGCCTTAATCTCTTAGTTACCACTCCACACACTATTTGGGCTTTGTTTGATGGGTTCACTCATGGGGTAGCATTGGGTCTGAAACCAACTAGGAAGGACGGTTGGCCTGCGGATTCTAAAGAACTGCAAAATTATGGAATTGGAAGTAGTTACTTAGGCAGGCTAGGAGGCTCATCAAGTCAAAAGACCACCTAGTTGCTTTATAAGGTGCCGTTTGATGTTTGTTGAAAATGTTATTGCTTGGTATATGATTACTAAAAAGAGAATTTTGTGGCCAAATGTAAAGGAGAGGGATGGCAGGGTTTGGCCACCACCCTTCTGTTTTTAGGTTTTTTTTTTTTTTAATTTTAATGTGCATAAAATTTAAAATTTGTAACCTCGTCTCCCCTACATCAGTTACATGAGTTGGTTTGAAATCTTTCTGGATTCAAATTTTAGACTTATTTTTTTCTCTTTTATAAATATAGTAAACCCTTTCATAATTATTTTTCTTTTTTTTTTACTCCTTTAAAAATATACTAAATCCTTTATTTTTTTTTTAATCATCCATGAACTTAAAAGCTTGAAAACCTGTTGCAAAATTTACCATGTTTAATGTAAAAATTTAATATTAATTTTTTTTACTTTATATCTAATTATATTGATAAATTTATAAATTATTATTAATAAAATTTTATATTATAATTTAATTTATTTAAAAAATAATTAAATTTTTACTCCGAATCAAATCATTGATTCGATTCATATCTTTATATGATCATTTTTTAACCACTCATACAAAATTATCGATCCGTTATTATTTGTAACATATGGTATAATATGAAAAAATGATAATCGTAAAAAATATAATTACTGAGTAAATTATATTATAGTGTTAATTTGATAACATTTTACTAAAAATGTAATATAAATTTATAAAATTACTCTTACATATGAAAATCTAAAATTAAATACTTGCATTCTATTTAATATAAATTTTTAAGTTCACATTTCTTTTATAAAAATTGATTGAAGTGAAACACATATATAATTATTTTGCAAAATGGTGAATAGAAATATAAGCAAAAGAGAAATGAAAACACTAAATAATATGAGAAAGAGAACATATCGAAAGGCTGTTGAAAGCGGATTGTTACTAGGTTTTTTCTTTTTATTAATTTACTTTGTTTTACCCCTGACAAAGTAAAAATAACTCAGTATGTATGGCCCTGCAAAGTAAAAAGATCAAATCCTGCTTCCAAGAACACCACAAAGTGCTATAAGCTAGCAAGAAAAGAACAGAGATGGGGTTGACATTTACAAATGACTTCAGCAGGAGTTTTTGCCAAGGAGATTCTTATTTAGAAGGTGGGTCTTGATGCTGCTAACCACTATTTTGTACAAGCTCAAGATCGATGGAATTAAAAAAAAGCTATAGTTACTGGTGTGAGAATCGTTTTTTGAAAGATGAAGAAGAGGGAGGAGTTGACTATGGTGAGAATAATTTGGGAAAAAAAATTATAACTTTACCTTCAAAGGAAAGTAACTTCCCCCGTGAGAGAAGAGACTGATATTCTCTTTGCTCCCTGTAATCACTTCAGAATGGGAAGACTTTTCAATGTGTTTTTTTTGCAAACCAAACACGGCAAGCAGTTTACAGCCTATCAAAAAGCAAGGATCTTGCCTACTTACATCACACCAATCGCCTCCTAAAATTTTAGAGAAAAGGAAAAGAAGCTCTCTTATACATAATTTAATGGTTTGATAAAATTGGTTTTTAACAAGGCATCAGGAGGAGGCCTACCGTATGCTTTGTAGAAGCTCGAAGGAAAGCGAGGCACATAAAAAGTTGAAAACAGAAGTCTTATAGAGATTGAAAATCCCATATTGATATCAACAAAAAACCAATCAATCATATGGTACTACAATGATTCATTTCAAAAAATGAAAAATCAGAGTCATGCAATTACTTGAGGGAAAACAGAAGGATTAGATCAACGAGGAGCCTTCTTCTTTCCAGCAACAGTAACCCTCTTACCCTTCAAAGTCCGAGTGTTGTTTTTGGTGCGCTGTCCTCTGCAAGGCAAGCCCTGAATATGGCGCACCCCTCTGTAGCACTGAATCTCCTTCAGTCGCCTTATATTAAGAGCATTGAACCGCCTCTGCAACACCTCAAGAAAGAAAAATAATCAAATCGCTTAGAAATGAGTGTGCTGAGTTACCAGAAGGAGAATTGGCAATTACCAGGTCGCCTTCAATCATATACTTGGAGACTTCATCACGAATCGAGGTGAGTTCTTCCTCAGACAAATCTTTGGTGATTTGGTTTTCCATTTTAAGATCACAGAGAATTTTACGAGCCCTAGAACGACCGATTCCGTGGATATACTGAAGAGAGAATTCCACTCTCTTGTTGTTTGGAATTTCCACTCCTCCAACACGAGCGCATTCGATGCTTAGACTACGATACTAATTGATTTCAAAACATATAAAGAATAAGAATTCGCTTTCCAACTTAATAAACTACAATTTAAACTAAGGGGGAAAAAGGAAAGAGCTTTATGATTCTAAATTTGAATATGAAAATTCTCCCTTTTAATCCTCAAGCGTACTGAAGTTCTGAATTTGAAACTTCCAAATATGTTGAACCACGCTTTGCCTAAACCCTATATCAATTAAGCCTAATAGTACTAATTAATTTCTGTTTGTCATTATTGAAAATGCAGGACACCAATATGAACAAAATTGCACAGAAATAAAGAAATTCCAGCCTAAAATTTTCTCTTCTTTGATTCCAGGAAACAGGATTAAGCAATGAAATGAAACAAAATTGGCAAAAAATGAAAAAGAGAGAGAGAGGAAAATCCAGAGATGACAAGAAATTAAAAGGGATTTGCACCTTTGGAGGGTTCGAACGTTGAAGGGAAACAGAGTTAGAGAGAGAAAGAGAGCTCGTTTTGTTGCATATCAAGGAGAGAGAGGGTGCCACGGGCATCGCCAGGGTTTGCGCCATATTCCTTTCGATTTTCTCGGTAACCAAGCAGCGTGAAGGAAGAGCTGAAGAGGTTGCTAGTAACTCTATCCTCATTCCTAAATTGGAATGAGAAAGACACTCGCTCGAGTAAAGATGGAGAACAACACTCGCTACTTTATAATAGCCACGTTGAAATGGACCTTAAATGTGGTGTAGCCAATTGGTTGCGCTAGTAGTGGTAGGAATGTCTCAGCCCAACTTGAGGCCTCCAAAGGTGATATCAACCCAATTTTTGTTTTATTCTATTCGAATCCACTATTATTTGTGCATTGAAATGGCCCAAGCTATGCAATTACTTACTGCCTCACATCTTAATTTTCCTTGATTCACAATGTCACTTAGCTACAAACTCAGTAGTCCATCGATGTTAGGGATGTTAAAAGGTAAAATATTAGTTAATTTTAAAATATTTAAATTCAAATTCTATTAATAAATGAGTTATTCAAATTTTATAATTATTTAAATATTTTTTATATTTAGTATCCTAATTCTAACCCTAATAAATATCTAGTACTTGATAATTATTTGACTCCGTTTAAAAACTCAATTATGTAAAAAATTATTAAAATATTTTTAATGGATATCCAATTATCCAAACTCAAATCCATACTTGTATCCATATACAATAATATTTTTCATCTATATTTCATATAATTCACTAAAAATTATATTTATAAAAGCACACAAACAATAAAATTTAAATTTAAATAATCAAAAACAATATTTCAAATATCAACTTAAATAACTAAAAACAAATATTCAAATAATAACTTAAACAATATTACAAGTTTTCAACAAGGCAACAACAGTACAAGTTTAATTAACTATATCAATTTGTCTTTAATTATATGAAATTAAGAAAAAAACTAAGTTCTAAAACTATTCTAATCTTACAAGTACGTATGCTATAAGTTTGTATAAATGAAAGTATATATATTATGATTGATAATTTTATAAATTATAAGTTTTATAATATTAACACAAAATAAAAAGTAAATATGTTTATATTTAATGTAAATATACTAAAAGTATATAGATAATAGTAATTATATTTCTTATAAATTAACACAATATATAGAATATATATACTATAAAACATTATAAGATAATTAATAATCATGATTTTATAAATTAATTTGATTAACAATATGAGTTTGTGTTTAATTACATGAAATTAAAAAAATAATTAAGTTTCAGAACTAATTTAATCTCACCACTTCTTTTTAGGTATATATATATATATTATAATTTTATATAAATAAATGTATATATATTATAATTAATAATATTATAAGTTATAATTTTTGTAAAACTAACACAAAATGAAAGGAAAATATATTTATATTTAAAGCAAGTATATTAAAAGTATATATATAATAGTAATTATATTCTTTTCTTAAAAATAAACATAATATATAGAGTATATATATTAAAAGACATTATAAGTTAATTAATAATTATAATTTCATAAATTAATTCAATCAACAATATAAATTTATCTTTAATTACATGAAATTAAAAAAATATGTGATTAGATTCAAGAACCAGGTACCAAGGGGCGGCATCAACTTGACACGGATAGTGAAATTGCTTCCTAAACCTATCCCAAACCTAATTAGAAACTATCTTAACCTTATATAAATGAATCAGATACCCATTGGCATCCTTAATCGATTAAAGATTTCATTTTTCCCTTCAATTTGACCATTTAGCTGATTGTTCAGCAAGCAGCACCAACAATTAGTTAGCTGACTTCGAGTTATAAATCATAATAATCTGCACATATGCTGGTCTTGGTTCATAAATGTTTGAGCATACTTGACGAAATAACTAAGCATCTTTTTGAAAGCTAGGGAGAATTGATTCTTAAGCTGAGATCTGTCAGTTACACAAGGCCGCTGACCAGCAGAATGCAAAACGGGAGTTTCTCCCCATATTTAGGTGGTCAGTCCTAACTACCATATGCAGTTCCAGACTCCAGGGTGCCTGATGTGGGTTAGATATCGGTATCTTCAAGAAAAATGAAGAGGTTCAAGTAGCATAAAACATCATTTAGATAATGAACTTTTTGAAACATTATTACAATTCAAACCACCACGACAAACAGAGCTGCTCCCACAGAGACCAACAGCAACTACATACCATCCTCAGCAATTTTCACCAGCTTTTACAATTTTCTTGAAAAATAAATGGCAAAGCAGCACCAGAAATTAATGATCAACAACATTTAGCAGAACATGAATTAATGTCGTTGGATCCCTTCTCTGCATCATGAAATAATAAAAGCAAGAAACGAGACTTAGTTGTGAGAGGCTTTATGTCTCTCTACAACAGCATTAAGTCCCATCTTTGCAGTCCGGGCATTAGTTTTTGTGCGCTGTCCTCTGCAAGGCAACTTATCCTCATGCCTGATCCCTTTATAGCACTGAATACCTTTCAATCTGGTCATGTCCGCATTGACACATCGCCTCTAAATCACCCAAGAAAAGAATAATGTTAAGAGAAAGTAAGTTCCTCAAGCAAGGAAGTTGAGTAGAGAAACAAGTTTGTACCAAATCTTCCCCAATTACACATGTGGAAGAGACATGCTCACGGAGAGACAGGAGTTCGTTTCCAGTTAATTCATTAGTGAGTTTGTTATCTATATTGAGCTCGCTTAAGATCTGGCGAGCTCTGGTACGACCAATTCCAAAGATGCTCTGAAGAGAAACTGCAAGGCGCTTGTGGTCTGGAATTTCAGCACCTCCCACACGAATGCATTGCACTTTTATTCCATGGAACTGCAGAAAACAGTATGTCAACAATAATAGTTTCCAGTTGGTACTAGGAATTCATTAAAAAAAAATTTCATTTTTTGAAAGCAAATCAAGGAAAAAAAACCTGACTTCAACTCTCAACCTTAGCTGATCCTATCAGGTAAGCATATAAACCTTGACCAAAACAACAGTGAAGATAAGCATATGATCCTATCTGGGTAGCTGCATCTGAACTTGAGGGGAAAGAAAATAGAAATCCAATTGAACAATAACACTGTTTACTGAGATAAAAACCTTCACCGTTATACCAAATTCTAATTTACGTCTTAGTTAAAAGAAAATTTGTTTTCTAGAGTTCAACATGTTAATAGAACAGCGACAAAAAGAACATCAAAATCCTCCCATAATTAAACAGTTAATATAAATAAAAGAGAAGAGCAACAGACAGTCTCATTAACCCAAAAATGTATGACAGTAAAATCTTGCATATAAAATAGTAATCTTGATATAATCACAAACCTTGGCAAGAGCCCTTAACGCGTAGAAATATGATCAGCAAATTCTTAATGCAGACATTTTGGCTAACGAGAATTAAGGAATCAAACTCACCGTTATGTTTTGAAGAAGCCGATGACTGGCATCAGAGAGTATTCCAACTGAACCCCGTAAACCCAACATTCTGGAAGGCGGTGAGAGTAGATTTGACAAGAATCAGAGTTTGCACAGCGGTGATAGGGTGGAGAGGGTTTTCCGAGGGTTTTGTGTGTCATTTTAGGAGTGGGAACTGGGAATAGCAATGATCAACTTGGGCCGTTGATAATTCAGAGCCCGTTATATACTAAAGCCTCGACCTGTTCGCAGTCTTGCCTTGGCCCAAGGGCTTGGGATGAGTCAATTTTCCCTTTTTCAAAAACAAAGAAATTGTATTGGGTAATTATTATTGCTATAAATTATTAAAGAATAAAACACCCTTATGTTTTTAAATTTTGATCTAAATTATATTAAAATTTATTAATTTTTGAAATAGATATTTCATCTTCCACAAAAACATTTTTCATTAAATACATAAATCTAGTTGTTAGTTAAATGTTTTGGTCAACTTGTTGATGTGGTAAAGATAAAATAATAATTTTACTATTGATTAATTTTAAAATTGTTATTATATAATTTTATTAATTCTTTATTAATTAAAAAAAATGCTTCCCATTAAGGGAGCACTAGCGCTCCCTTAGGGACCTAATGTACTGCTACCTTCCCTTGAGAGTAGCGATTGATGCTTTTTATTTTTTTATTTTAAAATATAATAATAATTTTTAAATTAATAAAAAATATATTTTAGTATTTTATAATTTTTATTAATGATATTTATATTTTTGAGGTGAAGTGTTTATTTCAAAAATTAATAGATTTCTATATAATTTTGATAAAAATTTAAGAAGATAAGAGTATTTTATTTATTATTAAAAGATAAAATACATTAATATTATTAAATTTTAATTATAATTACACATATCTATTAATTTTGAAAATTAACATCAAACCCTAAATATGTAAACAACGTTAATGTTAAATTTAAAATATCAAAAATGTATTTTTTTTTTCATTTATTTTTATTTTTGAGGCCAGTTGGCGAGTTCCTTTACATCGACCAAGTCTCCCATCTCCTTGGGCTCCCTTGAGGAGTACCAAATCAGGCTCTTGAGGCTTAGCATCGATTCGGCCAGATCTGGCACTCACTGGCCAGATTCTACCGTGAGGTGGCCGGTTGCAAGGTAATCAACCAGCAATAGAGTTATTTAAAAAAAATATATAATAATTTGATAATTTTTAAAATTAATAAAAAATAAATTATTTTTTTAATAATATCACGTAATCAAATTAACGAAAATATTAAATTAACAGTTGAATTTATGTGTTTAACGAAAAATATTCTTTTGAGGTAGAGTGTTCATTTTAAAAATTAATGAATCAACGTCAAAGTTTTAAGACTTTGTGTATTTTATCCATTATTATATTTAATACTTCAATGATCTAGTGACCTAAAGTGTAAATATTAAAATCTCATATCGTCCACTCCATACCCTAGATGTCAAACTTTATTCATGTATAGAGTAAAAACTTTAGTTACTAGTCATTCTGCATAGATAAATGTAGGAAGTACTATTTATATTATTTGATAAAGATAACTAAGAATGTCTTCAAGGCTTATTACCATTGTTGATGTTGTCAGCATTATGCACATTATCCTGCCAAGGTTGGCTGCTACCTGGGCCTCGAGCAACACCAATAGAGCAGGAATGGCCGAATAATTAAGGTTGAAGCCATGATGCCAATATGGAGAGGAATGGCCTAATAATTAAGGTCTCGATGGAGTATACGCTACACAAAAGCCAACTCCTTTCGCATGAAATAGCAATCTTAATTAGTTGCCGAATATGATCACCATGAAGCTGATGTGGTCTCCGGGGCTCACCCGCCTGGAATCACAAAAAATGCATGTCCATGAATCCTAGTTAAACCCGGATTTCGGCTCTACGGTCTAAATTAGCTATTTCAGCTTAAGGTGCTATATTGCTTGCCAATTTCAAAGAGTTCTACGAGAATTCGTTCAGCTGCAACTAGAGGTCACTTTCCATCCTTTAATATTTGGCACCACATGGAATATAAAAATGAAAATTAAAAAAAATTATTCAAGAGAAAAGGACATTCAATTCTGTTTTTTAAACAAGAGAAAGATAAAGTTTCAATTTTGTAAAACTGAAAATAATGTTTTTAATACTTGTAAGGATAAAATTATAATTTTTTTTAAAAAATAGATATAAAATTATAAAAAAAAACCACTTTTACTAACCCCTTCTTATAAATACACATTTTTTTTATAATTAGGAAAAAAATTTTGACCCCTAATCTTTATTTTTTATTTAAAAAATTCATATACAAATTAATGACACAAATGCTCGTATGATGTGAATCCATACATTTATTGTTAAGTTTAATACTTAGATGCAAGAGTGAAGATTGATTTTTAATATGGTTCAAAATGTTTAAAGATTTTAACTTAAAATAATTGAGACTAACTTAATAAATATAGGATCAATTATTTTTTTTATTTACATAAAGGAAAACTTCGTTCTTTTACCACATAAAAGTCAATTTATCGAAATTGTAAAAAGACATGCCATAAATAATAAATAGGCGATATTAATTAACGATGTTCATTGCCACGTAGGAACAACGAAGCAGCGCCAGCATCCACAAACCAAACGAGCTTTCCATCTTGGGGCGAGACCATTTGAGCTGGATGTGATCCACTGGGCTTACCACTCACCATTGCATCCATGAACGGACGGGACGGATCCATCCCCGCGGCCACGATCGCCACGTTGGCTGCCGCGTTGATCACCGGGAGAGTGAGCGTCACGCTCTCGCTCGTACCGTCTTGGGAAACACAAGCAACCCACTGAGACTCTTCTTGCAAAACCGGGTCATTAGGGTAAAGAGACGCCACGCGGTCGTTCGACCCTAAGTATAGGAGAACAAGATCGAATCTCGGGCAGTCGCTTGATGGAGAAGCTTGGACCGTTCGATTTTTGACTTGTTGCCTGAGAGAGAACTCGTAGCTACTCGCCGCTACTTCCCCTGCCACGCCATGGCTTACAGAGATAACGTGTGCTGGTAGTAAAGGAACCTGTATTCAATTCGTGATTAAGTACTTAAATTCCTTTGTATTTGGCCAAAACAAAAAATCTGATTAATTAGCAGGGCAACACAAGAAAGGATAATTCGTTAAGTACAATATTTTTATATATCACCTCATAATACTGATTATTTTATATATTTGCATATTATTAATTGTAATACTAATTCCTATTCCTGTTATAATGTGCTACTCTTCCATAAATATTTTTATATATCACCTCATAATACTGATTATTTTATATATTTGCATATTATTAATTGTAATACTAATTCCTATTCCTGTTATAATGTGCTACTCTTCCATAAATATTTTTTCATAAGCCACTCATTCATAAATATTGTTTAGTTTGATTTTCTTTAATCAAAGTTTTTCAATTTTAAATTGAACTATTTGAAGTATTTGATTAAATTGAATCTTAACAAATATATATTTGTAAATTATTTTATGCACAAATTCAAAAAAAATATGTTTTAAATTTTTATTAATGATTATTAAATAAATCGAATTTGAAAAAATTAAACACAATACACTAGTAGTGCCGGGCAAGACACAAATAGCACTAGGAGGGGGTAATAGTAGTGATTTTTTTTATAACTTCTGGTAATATATGAAATTATCAATTGAGGAATTATCAAGAATAGTACCAACGGACCGCCAATTCCTAACACTCCTTGCACACTACACGAGCCTAACCCGAATACTCCTACCCTCTCTTCAGCTGCCATTAGATGCCAACTCTCTGGTTGCTCAAAGCCAGCAAAAATTGCAAACATATCCAAAGGATACGAACGAATTAGTAATAATTTGATTCAAATTTATGAACCTCGCTATGCCATATTATTTATCGTTGGCTTAAATAGTTATAAATTCTTGAATCACTATCAATTTCTTTAATTTAAACTCTTATTCTTTTATTAGATTTAAATGAATTCTTTTAATTCGTGTATCTAAACAAAATTTTAACTTAAGTGAAAAATTAGGCATCATCAAGTCCCAACTACTATTTTTTGGCTCATGTGATTTGAAGATGTAATCACATGGTAGAACAAAAAATTCAAGATTTGGTGAACCACAATCGTTACCTCTGTTTTCGATCATCGGTGGTTGATTGCCATCACTTACTAACGCCAAAATCACGAAAAAAAAAAACTTTTTTCAGTTTCTTTTATTTTCTTATCTGCTTTACACAAGAGTATTTTTTTTTCAAATATAAAAATAAATTGAAGATCTAAAAATTTTAAATCTAGGTTTTAGTTTTGAGATTTGTTGAAAATCAATTGGCTGGAGGTGTGGAGAAAGAGAGAGAGAGGAAACAGTAGCAAAATACTGCCATGACTAGATATAGATTGTCATTTTGTGAAAAAAAAGGAGAATAATGAGGAAAAATAGAGATATTTGAAAAACATTAAATCAATTAAAAGGTAGAAGGGTGAGTAAGGAACTCAGAAAAAGGAATGTTTTTAGGTTTGGTTGGTGACGAAAGACACCAACGAGCGGGGACAACAACAGTCATAGATTCTGGGTAGATCCTAGAGATCGTGAGGCAAAGTGAGGATAGAGAGAGGAAAAGGACGGAAAAAATGAAAAGGTTTATATGGAATTCTCAAAACTAAGTCGTTTTAGAGAAAAGTTAAAAAAAATTATCTCACAATCACATTGAATAAAAAAGTTAACCTTTACCAGGTAAGTAACTATTCGAAAGGGTAAACAGAAAGAAAGGATGCAAAATAACCTGGGAGATGAAACATTCTTTGGCTTGCCAATAGAGGCTATCAGGGTGTAACTTGGGAACGACGTTCTCCTCCGCCCAAAATACATACCATTTCGGCCAGTCTACCAGTCTCAAGAACGGAGCTTTGGTCAGTTTCCTGCATTACAGAATAATCATACACAAAAAATGAAAAGGAAAGAGAACCAAACCATAAAGAAATACAAGTATTATAGTGTGTATGCAAAAGGTTTATAAGGACCCTAAGCGCTTCGGTATGTCTCCTCCGCAGAGAACAAAGAGAAAAGAGCCTCTATCTTTCACAGCAGATTCAGCAAGTTGAAGCACATAGTCAGCAGAACCTGACGATAGTTCTTCACTGCTATCAAATAGTCTCAGCTCTGGCTCTATCTTCTCCATTGCTTGCAGGCCAGTTTTCTCTTCTCAATGCACCAAGTTTCTTCACAACACATAACATATATATATATATATATAATATATATATATCCTAGCAGCCGGAAGACGAGCAAAAGAGAGAGAGAGAGAGAGGAGAGTTTTGGGGCATTTACAGCGAAGAACATGATAATGCCGTAGCTTTCTTTCACGTTTCTTGGAGAATTGGAAGAACAATAAATTACCAACATTTTGCCCCCATCAAGGGAGGAGCACGGGACCCCTACTGCAAGTAGATTTTTATTGGTCCTTCTTTCTACTTTTAAATTACGAATAACCCTCGTCGGTTCTCAAGATTTGATGTTTCGGGGCAATAAAGCACATGTTGCTTCTTTTTTTAAAAGTTTGACTGAAGTATTGGATAAGGTGAAGTTCTGAAGAGCAGTTAATGGTTGGCCAGCGCGAGGACCAGCGATGCTAGGCCAAGGCCATTATTCCAAGACGCTTCAAATTTATGGAACGTCAAACCCAATGAGGTCCTGACAATCGGGGTTTAGCCCAAGTACTAATTATTCAGTCCTTTTTCTTGTGCATTTCGAGTTCCGTTTTCTTTTGTTTTACTTTCCAGGCAAATGTGATCCAGGTATATTTCTAGACAGGGCTACCAGCTCACACTCCTAGTGTGGCTTTTTCATGTTTTAAACTTACTCGTCAATCACGTGATGAAGAGATGTTCAAAATACGGCTGCAACACCCCAAATTAATTCCAACCACCATAAATTGGTGAATAATTAAATTGAGTTTTGTCTTTTCATATAACCAAAGACAAAAAAAAAAAAAACAAAAGAACCATGTACATAAATATTGCTACTGCCTGCAAGCTACGTAACGATAAAAAAAATCAGAGCCTATATTTGTTGTAGCCTAAGCGTGTCCTTTGAACGAAGGCTGAACAAGTAACTGATGATCTTCATATGATCTTTCAGTACTCCTTTTAATTTGTACTCTTTGCCATTGATCGATTAGTATATTGATAGATTATGTCTGAAATTAGCCAACTCTGGAGCGAGGTAGGTTCACTTCAAACAGCAAATAGCCTTACGTATGTTTTATTTTATTTTGTTTTGTTGGAGACGGAAGTTCATTATTCGTGTTCTTCTTTATGCAAGTTCTGCACTTGTTTTCATTCTTTACGGAATAGCAGGCTAGCCTGTTACCTAACACGATTCTTAGCTTTGACCTTAGTGTTCAGTTCTTATTTTTTCTGCTTCTCTAAGTAAAAAGGATGTTTCAACTTTAGTTCTCTAAATATATATTGAAATAGTAAATTGCCTTAAAGGTTTGGGACTCTCTCCCACAAAAAAAAAAAAAAGTTTTAGGCCTTTAATTAGGGAACCATAGTGGAGATTAATGATGGAGAATTGCAGATTTATTTTACAGAAAAGCTTTCTATGGGAGACATGAAGGAGCACTTGTTCACTTCGATCTAGTAAATTAAGTTCATGACTTTATAGAAAGAGAAATTCTAAGTAACGTAAAGGACTTTTGCTAGTATACATATGTTCTTGACTTTCTTGTTTCCCATGCGTGGACAGAAAGCGCCCGGAGACCTAGATGGTAAACATGATTTGTTTAATTAATTAAAACACGCGGGATTTGAAGTTTGATCTAGAGGAGGGAATTAACTATTAGTCTGAAGTCCTCAAAGCTAACAGCTCCATCGCCATCTGCATCCATGGAAGCAATAACCCCCTGGCAATCCTCCAAGGACAACTCAACTCCAAGATTCCCCATGATTTGATATAACTCCGTCGCTGTCACAGCCTCTTCCCCATCAAAACCAAAAGCAGGAAAAGCGCTACTGAGAGCACTTGCAAGGCCCCCGAGTTCCATGTCCTTCGTGTTCATCTCCAGGAACTCTTCGATGCTCAGCAATCCATCCTTGTTAGTGTCTCCTTGTTGCATCATTGCCCTTACATCTTGTTCACTAGCGTTGTAACCAAGCGAACCCAGGATTCCACCCAGCTCCGCAGCATTGATTGCTCCATCGTTGTCTGCATCGAATGCTCTGAATGCCTCCACCAGACCCAGGACATGGCTCAGTGTCTCAGTTTCTGCAGACATAGACCCCGGTTGGGCCATGGAGCTTAAATTTAACTAATTCAACTTACCTTTGCCTCGCTCCCTTCCTATAAATAACTAGCCGAAAAGATTGGCTGGCATATTTCTTTTTTGCAAAGGTGGCACTGGCACCTTTGCGTGGACATAAAGTTGAAGTGAAAAGAATGTCAGATACGCTTAAAGGTTATTATCCTTTCTTTTGGTTTACAGTATGCTGATTCTAACCCTCAAATTTGACAAGGTTGCTTAAATTATTCTCTTGCTTCATTGCTGATAAGGTGATTCGGCCTAACGATTAATACGTGTTCCTTATTAAGGCAGTTGAGAGTTAAGATTCGAGCCTCATCTCTCCTTTAAGACTTGCTCACATTTTGCAAAAAGAAAAAATTCCTATGGTGCCTTGGATTAAGATGTAGCTTTTTGAAAGAACGATTGCAAATGAACTAAGATAACATGATTCTAGATATCAGGAATGGGTAAATATGTTGTAATGTTTTTTAGAAATTTTTATTAGATTATGATTGTATAAATTTACTTGATAGTGTATGGAATACAAACTCAAGGTAGGGTAGCACAATACTTCACTTTCTTTATCAACTTGGCATAAGGTACCAGATATGTATTGGGTTGCTATCTCAACGACGAATGGAAGTCTATTTCCCTCACAAGTTGTTTCCAGCTAAACATTCTCTTGCTTTCAGGGATTCCTGATAAAATAGATGCCAATATTCACTTGTACAAAAATAGTGACATCTCCAAACAGGAGCCGCTGTTTCTCAAGAAACCTAGGAAAACAACAAAAATTGGTTATTACTAGTGCTTAATTCTTGGGCCTTGGCCACAAGAAAAAGGAACTGAAGCAGTAAGTGCATGCATCGACCAGATTCGGCCGTGGTCTGGTTTAGAATGAAGCCCTTTGGACTGCTCGTTGGAAAGGGTTTTTAGTGGTCTCAGGCTCTGAGCCTACATTACCTGGATTTGGCCTCTCTTGTTCTTCGGCCAATTAAGGTGCAGTTAATTGGACTGGACTGCAATAAGGTCAAATCCAAGTACTTGACCACTTGGATTCATATACATATACATATATATATTCAAGCAGAAGAATTAGCACTTTCAAGTTTCCAAGTAATTGTATCAAAAGAGCGGTAAGTATATAAGCCATACAACTGACAATAAATTTCAATTTGAAATCTTCAAAACTTTGAGAAAATTTAGACTTTTTGGAAAATTGAATTGACATTTTGGTTTCATTCATGATAAATTAAATCCTCATTTTAATCAGTTACATTTCTTTTACCTTATTATGATTAATGTGAAATCGAAATGTTGAAAACGACTATTCAATCTGTTAAGATTCAATCACATAGATTAGATATTTAAATTTTTAGATTTACCCTTATTTTAAGGAAATTTACTGGTACCAAGTGGCCATTAACGAAACAGAAACATGGAAAACGTAGAAATTTCTGATCATGAACAAAAATGGGAGGGCCGAACCAAGACATTTCTATCAAACATTGCATGCTTTACTTCAAAACCCAAGTTCAATCCCCTTGACTTTGCAATACATTTTCCTGTTTGAGCCTTTTTCTGTCAAGGTCAAATATGTGAGGAAGACATTTAGAGAAGCATTACTTCATTTATGTTTTTCAAACTTCTTTTTGAAAAAAAAAAAATTCCCTACAACACATTTGAACTTTAAGTAAACATGTTAATTTTTCTTTTCTTATGAAATTAAGTAATAAATTAGCATTATAGATCATTATCCACAGTAACAAATCAAGCTTACCTCTATATTGTAACATGAACCAATTAAGTGGAGAAAAACCAGGCCAAAAAAAGGAGGAAGCTTGAAAGATCTGCAAAATTTTCAGGGTCCTAACTCCTGTGAGCACGAGCTAAGGTCCTTTCATGTCTTTCCAGCCCCAAGTACCCTCAGTGAGCTTCCTCAAAGATTGTAATCTTTGAATGTGATTGACAAATGCAGAAAGCCAATGACAATGAGGTAGTACTGGTCCTGCCACTGCCTGTCTGCCTTATCCCCATTTTTGAGCTGTCCACCACAAAATATGAAAATGATCATCCTTTATATAATCGCTCTGTCAACACAAATCTCTCTCAACAGGCCATTGGTTAATTTGTACATCTTGCTCGAAAGCTTTTTGTCGTTCGATACTCTTTCCATCGTTCCAACCAAACACGCGCAGTTGTGAGAAAGATGTTTAGTTTGAATAGATTAACACCAGAAAGTCATTCTCAACTCAAGGCGTAGAAAAATATCAACCGCAGAGTTAGAAACAGGTTGCCCACATAAATTCTGACAGCCATCTCGTGTTCGGAAACAGTAATGTTGATTGGTTAGACTTCGTTATCAACATTAAGACAGCCATTTGTTTCTCTTAGAAATCTTTGGCTCCTTATTGTGACGTAATTGTACAAACGATGAGCATGCCACTTGTCAGAAACTATTATTGCATTTAAGTTCTATACACAAATGGGAGCGACTTAAGAAAGGTGACCTGACGACTGAAAAACGGAGAAATAGGGGTTTCCAGTGCCAGTGCAAAATCTGTTTATCTAAATCTTAAAGAGTAGTCTGTATATATATATATATATATATATATATATAAAATCAAAAGCACCATAAGAGTAATCCATTTTTTTTCCAAAGATCACATTCTAACGTTATCTTTAGGGTATTTTAACATACTAGAAGAATACAAGAATGGCTACTACCCTGTTATATGTATATGTATGTATATGTATATAATTAAGTAAAGAAAATGCAACTTACAATTTCTTGTGATTGCTAATTAGACGCCCACAGGCCACAGGGTTTGGGAAAGTAACAGCCCAAATTAAAATTGCTGTCCATGGCCACTGGACAGCAGAGCATTGAATTGTTAAAACAAATAAAATAAATATATAAAAAGATCAAATGCTACTACCACCCAAGGACTTTGGAGGCTATTTCCAAATTGTGCGGACTTTCAATATTCTACCCTACCAACTAACTTGCCACTTACATTTCAACCAATTAAATTATCCTAATGATATTTCCGAGATAATTTAAAATAATCTGTGACGTTTATTTCAGCAATTAGGTACTTAGTTTTTTCTCTTATTTGTTACGTAACTTTTCTTAAATTTTGAACTCTAATTATATTTTTTTTCACTGGCGCAAGAGCGGCTAAAGCCCATAGTTTCCCAAGCCTGGCTCATAGGCTACCTTTGCTAAATATAAATTTAATGTATTAAGCTTTCTTAATTGCTCAATATATATATATATATATATATATCTCATCATCATTGCTAGCTAGTTCATTAAAGAATATTCTTACTATAATAGTCAAAGGCACCTTTAGGAATAAAGTGCAAGTGTTCTACTAAAATTTGTCTATCTACCATTTTTTAATTGAGGGCCATTCACACATTGCCGCAATATACAATTAAAGAACTGAAAAACCAAGGTGGTTTTCACATAGTAGGATGTTTGTTGGGTGACAAATATTTTTGTTTTGACGTCGCACACTCCTAGTGAATTGCTGACTTACAGATCAGTCGGAAATTTCATCAGCTAAAGCTTGCAATTGGCCATTTCTACCTCTTTCATAAATGTTTCCTCTTTATATTCAACCCTCGATTGAATTTCTAAACGATTAATCAAAATCGGGTTGATTCAGCATGCATATGTTGCCTTCAACTTAACCAAAGAATCCTTTGGATTTGAGATTAATTTCGCCAACTTGGTTTAAATGCTTGAAACAAGATGTATAGTTAGTGACTGGTAAGAAGGAGATTCCTGGCAGGGCAGGCCAGTTGTAGCTGAAAAGACTGTTCCAAAACAACATGCCACATTAAAAAAATAGGAGATTCAAGGGAGCCCCTAGAGATCCAGCAGTAAAATATAATGTAAAATAAGATGTTGTTACCATAAAAAAAAGTTAGAAAAAAAAGAATCTATGGAGTAGTACAAATATTAAAGTATTTGACCGCAGCACTCAAACCCAGGTGAGTAACAGCATGAATTGATTTGCTGGTTTGATTTCCACTTGGTTAAATAAAGTCAGATTTGAAGCATTTTTAATGAATTAAATAGAAGAGCAGCTGAGACGAAAGATCTCAAGTTTTCAAGCATGAATTGAATAAAGACAAAAGATCAGGGATAGGGGGGCCAATGTAAGGCGAGCGCGGAAACTAAGCAGAAGGTGACCCTTCAACATTCCAAGGAACCACAAAGACTGCAATGCCAAAGCGATGGGTTGGTCAATTTGGCTCACAGCAAGAGGAGTAGCCAACGCAGCTGTCGGACGCGGCGGTGGCCCAAAAAGGCACTGCCCTTGGACCCACGCTGCTCTAATTCACGCTTCATTCCCCCATTCTGGCTCGCTGTGTTTTTTTGGTGCCTAGCGATGTTCATCGGGGCACACACATGTCACATTATGTCTCCGCATTCTATACCGTTGGTGAAATTTTTATGTTTTTGGAGAGGTTTATTTTGCAGTATGAAATTTCTGGATTTATGCAACTTGCTGCCTTTGATCAGTTTGTTTCGTGTTTTTGCTCATTTTATAGACGAATACAAATTAATGCAACGACCACAAAAAATTTGTGTGGAGATTTATTAATATCAAAGAAGGCGCCCGGCATATATCCGAATATCCAAAGTACAAAGTGAGAGGTACCTCTTGGTTGCTTAAGTATTTAGTTTTGCAGAGTAAGATGTTCTCCAGGAATTTGTGGGGAGAAAAACAAAAGTCCTTTCTTTCGGCTTCTTGTGGTGAAGGAAATTTCTAGCCTTCTCTCTCTACTGTTTTGATTGCAAATAATTCACGTGGATGAAAATTCGAAAACTGTTTTAGATAGGATTTCTGTACTTCATACTTATGGTGTGTAAATAACCAATTGCAACGCTATCTTTAGTCTTAATAAGTGCACTGAACTTCAACTTGCTGTTTTGGTCAATGCAGGAATTTGAGGTCGGTGGCATTTTCTTCAAGTGCGATTAGAGAATCAAGCCTCCAAACCCCCTTTTCTTTGCAAGAAAAAAATGGTTTCCAA